CAGCCATGACTCCCAGAGCAGGGTGCTGCCTGTGGGGTGTGCTAAAGAGAAGAGCCATGCAGGGCCTAGGACAGGGAGCCGGGCTGTCAGGAGCCAGCCAGGAGCTGCTTCAGGATCTGATGTAGGTGACAGTGGCCTGGGCTCTTGCGCCAGAGAGCATTGTGGGGACATGAGCTCCTGCAGTGGCTGGGTCTGGACAGGAGGCACCAGGCTGGGGAGACCCTGAGGGTGCCAAGTGGAAGGGCGCAGAGACAGTGGGGGACAAATCCAGGAAGACCTTGTGCTCTCCAGTTGGATGATAGGTGAGACAGGGAACCCGAGAGGAGGAGCAAGGGCAAGAGAAAGCTTAGGCTTCTGCGTGGCTCTGAACTGAACTTCTCCTGAGCAGCTCAGCATTTATAGTTTTGCCACTACCTGAGCATTTCCCTGATGTCCCATGCCCTGCCCCACCCTGTCACCTTGAGTCAGATACTCGGTATGGAAGAGGTTCCATGGTGCCCTTTGGAGAAACCAGCTGCCCTCAAATCTCTCGCCTTCTTTTTACCTTTGGCGCCACCCCTGCACCTTTCTCACCATCTGGAAGTGACGGTGTCTTGGCTCCCCCACCCACAGCTTCTTGTCTGTTGCATAAGTGCAGAGGTCTGGCAGGGTCCCCTCTGCGGGCCTCTCAGTGCCTGCTGTGAGAAGGCTGCCTGCCATTTGGGCATTCAGAGCAGGGAAGAGGCAAGGCACATGCGCACAGGCGGCCTTGTCCTGAGGGCCAGTGATGCAGGAGGAAGTTTGTGCTTAGGAACATGGAGGAGTGGGGGTGGCCCAGCACCCATGGCTGGGCCATGGGCACAAGGGCTTGGGGGAGCCCAGTCCTGGGGAGTCTGAGGGTGGAGCCTGGAGCCCATGGGTGGGAGCTGGGTGGGGTGAGGCCTACACTCCTCAGGGAGGCAGAGTTCTAGCGCAGAGCCTGGGGGAAGCACAGTATCAACAGCTTTCAAAAGTCACCATTGTTCTCTGCTTTCTCAAGACCTTAGAGTCTTCAATCCAAGGCCTCCGGATAATGTGAAGCTGTGTGAGCCTCCCCCATCCAGCAGGAGAAACATGGCTGCCTGCCGCTCTGCCCCAGGGAGACGGTGAGGAGAGCCGCCCCAGGAAGCACTGTAAACACATGGCGCAAACATCGTGTGTTTTTGTTTAAATATAATTGGTGAAAGTGTTGGTTTTTTAAAGGCAACAGTGGTTTTTTTTGTTTTGTTTTGTTTTTTTGTTTTTGCTATTTCATTCCATTCTTGACCAAAGCTTCTGTTCAAGTAGTTTATTATGGAAAATTGTCACACTAACTTAAAGGAAAGGGTGAGGGAGGTATGTAAATTGTCTGCTAGAAAATTAAATAAAAATCCCAAATGTGTTTTTGGTTTTGTTTCCTTATACTATTTCCATGTTTAATAGGAAAATATGGATAAATTCTTCATTAGATAAGCTTGTTTTTAGGGTAAAATCTTAGATTGCAGTTTCTTATATTGCATCGTACCATCGATTGTGGGGCAGAACCATTTATTGAATGCTCTCTCCACATGACAATGCTTCTGCAAGTAAGTGCGCTGTACCTGGCAGCTGAGCAACAGAACAGCTTTCTCTTCTGAGCAGCCTGCCTTGTGGGAACCTGCCCAGGGGGACTCCAAGGTCCACTGTCCAGCCTCTGCCCTGTACCCACCATGGGGCAGCCCCCTGCTGATAGAGCCCCATGCAGTGGGGGAAGGGAGACAGTATCATCTCAGTTTAGAGATTATTGTGCCTAAAACCAAGTTATTTTCATCCTAATTAGACATGTACTTTGATGTTGCAAATATAAGAATCTTATGAGGTACAGGTATAAATAAGTAGCAAAATAAACAAACATAAAGTGGGCTGCAGCCTGGCCACATGCTTTTTCTTTTTTTTTTTGGTATTGGGAATTGAACTCGGGCACTTGACCACTGAGCTACATCCCCAGCCCAATTTTGTATTTTATTTAAAATCAGGGTCTCACTGGGTTGCCTGGCTCCTCGCTGAATTGCTGAGTCTGGCTCCACCTCCCAAGCAGCTGGGATTAAGGCATGCGCCTGGCCACATTCTTGATCTCACTGCTCAGAAAGTGATTCTAGCAGCTCTCTAGAGTGCTGGTAAAATGTCTGTCAGAGGACATCATGAGATTTGCAAAAGATTGATTTTGCCCTTTTGGCTATTTGTGGGAAGATTTCTCATCTCCAAGAAAGTCGAATGCCAGGGGTGTTGGCCTGGTGGCCTGCCCCATCCCCTGTGCTGTGGAGCCCTCTGCACCCCATGGCAGGAGCTCTTTGGTGCACACGTTTACACACAGTGCATCAGCCAGGCTGTCATTATGGAGAGGAGGATAGGCAGAAGCTAGCCCTGAAATAGGAATGAGCTCCAGCTTTCCTTTTAGGTTCATGATATGACTTGGTTGGACCAGCCAGAGATTTTTAGAGAGACAGTGTACCCTGGGAAAGAATCGACAGCCAAAAAAAAAAAAAAAATTTTTTTTACTTACTTTGACTCCAAAAACATAGTAGACACACAGTTATTTTGGGTTGTTTTTTTGTTTGTTTGTTAGTTTTTAACTCACACCCAGGGAAGAATGTCTCCCCAGTCCCAGCTGCCAGATGCCTTCAGTGCTCTGCCATCAGCCCTCTGAATCTGAGGGTTCTGAACCCCTGGGTTCTGTATCCACAGTGGGCCACATATGATGGTGATCCCATTCCATTATAACAGGGCTGAAAATTTTCTATTGTCTAGTGACGTCGGAGGTCGTAGTGCCACGTACCATTCACATTTGTGGTGAAGCTGGTGCAGACAAACCTACTCTACTGCCAATTGTGTAAAAGTGTGACTCATACAGTTATGTACGGTACATAATATGCGATGATAATAAAAAAACTTTGTTTATGTACTGCTTATGTAGTTACTATGCTTATATTTTATTGTTTATTTATTTATTATTATTGTGTGTGTGTGTGTGTGTGTGTGTGTGTGTGTGTGTGGGGTAACTAAGGATTGAACCCAAGACCTCAAGTGTATTAGGTGAGCATTCTACCATTCAGCTACATCCCTGGCCCTTTTTAATTTTTTGTTTTGAAATAGGGTCTTTGTAAGTTGTCCATGCTGGCCTCAAACTCTGAGTCTTCCTACCTCAGCCTTCTGAGTGGCTGGGATGATAGGCTGGGATCATAGATATACACCACCATATCCAGCTTTATCGTTACTTTATAGTATACTCCTACTTAAAAAAAAAAAAAATTGTTAGTCGGGAGCTGTGGTGTATACCTAAAATCCCAGCTGCTAGGGATGCCGAGACCGGAGGACCATGAGTTCAAAGCCCAAGCAATGGCGAGGCACCAAGCAACTCAGTGAGACCCTGTCTTCTGTCTCTAAATAAAATACAATATAGGGCTGGGATGTGGTTCAGTGGTCAGTGCCCCTGAGTTCAATCCCTGGTACCCTCCCCCCCCAAAAAAAAAGGGAAAAAAATCATTTACTGTAAAACAGTATGCCATGGTACAGCAGCAGTTGGCAGGCAGAAGAACACATCTCATTTCCTGTGTCTCCTTAAGTGCATCAGGAGGCCACGGCCAGCGATTCACACATACCACCCATGTTTGAATACATTCACTCAATGTTTACACAACAAATCATCTTTCTTGTTTTGTTTTTTGTTTTCTGGTACTGGGGACTTGACTCTGGGGTGCTCTACCACTGAGCTCCATCCCCAGCCTTTCCTTTAAAGTTTGAAAACCACTAATTGAGAGTCAGGAACAAGAGGGTCCCTGAAGAAGGGTGTGTTAGTTACACATTAAATGCAGTATGTTACTGGAAAAATTTAGCTTACTGTACCAATGAAAGCAGTCATAGCATTAACTACTCACAATTACCATGTAGGGCTGTACTATTATTGCCACATTTTGTAAATGACAAAACTCTAGGATACAGAGGGGAATGACCAGTCTGCAGAGCCCCAGTGGAAACTACAAAGCATGTTCCCCACTGGGTGAGAGAAGGGAGAGGAGATGCTACTGTAGCCACCTAGTTCAGCTCACCCAAGCTCAGAAATGGGAAGATGTCCTTGGAACTGAGGGGAGAGGACCCCTCTTGACAGTACTTTAAGGGAACTGCACTGACACGTAAGTCTCTGGCAAAAGACATATGGGAGGTGGAATGCTGAACCTCCATGGGCCTTGCTTCTAGTGGACATCTGTCCTTGGGGCCTAGGAAGGGGGCATAGAAGTTCCCCCTCTTCTCTCCCACTAACAGATATCAGGTGGTGATAGATCCTTTGGCCTCAGGGAAAGGGACCTATAGTTCCCAATCTGGGGTAGACACATGTCCTTGTTCTGGCCGGAGAAACAAAAAGTAGATTATGCTGGAAGCTCCTGGGAAAGGTCATCCTCCCTTTTCTCCCACCCTCCCGGCCAGCCCTCTGCTTGCTTACATGGCTGTAAGCAGCCTGCGACCAGGAGGCAGCCAGGCTCACACAGGGAAGAGGAGGACCTTGACAACCCAGCCGAGACACTGCCTTCCTCCAAGTCAACTGGGTCTGTGGCTACATTTCTTGGAAACCTGAGATCAGAAAAGAAAGGGGAGTGTAGCATCTTCATCTCAGGGCACTGCACACAGATTCCAGGAAGAAGCAGAAAGCTGTCCAAGTGGTTCTGGGAACTCCAGATGAAATCCCTCCATCCCCAAGTTCCCCTTCCCCAAGGAGCTGCTTCACTTAAAGGCTTAGAAAACACCACCACCCACCCCACCCCCACCCCCCACGGAGCGATTTCGATTTCAAATAACACCCCCTTCACATTGCAGTCACCTTCGCTCCCTCATTCTTTGGGCCTTCCCTCCATGCTGCAGGCCTGCAGGTGGGGGCGGGACCCATCAGCCTCCCTTCACAGATGCAGAAGCTGAGGCACAGCAAGAGTGACTTGCTGGGGTTACACTTCAGGTTAAGTAGCAGAATCAGATTGTTTTCTAATCATTTATTCATTTCTGATCATTTATTCATTCACTCTGCAGATGGGTACTGAGTGACTCCTATCTGCAGCCTCTCCAATCAGCCCTGGGGATGGCAGTGGACAACACAAACATGGCTGCTGCACACACGGACTTTGAGTCTTTTCATTGAATTAGGCTACTTCAGTTCTGTTTCCACATTAGGAGCAAGGAGTCCTCTATGCAGGTTGGTGAGGGTGCTTCTGGCAATGAGTAGCAGAAAAATTCAGTGCAAACCAGTTTAAACATTAAGCCAGTAACTTGGGCTCAGCCTGAGCTATGGGCTGACCAGATCATTTGTCCAGATTGTGCTGTATTTTCATCCAGACTCATGCAGCTCACCCAGAAGGCAGCTCTTTGCCTTGGATCATCCTCCAAAGTCCTGGGCTTTGCTTCAAATGGGTCATCTGAAGTCAGGCATTGAGGAAGGGAAACACCACAAGCTGATGGAGTTAGACCACTCAGGGCCTCCTGGGGTCATTCCTTGGGCATCTGTGGAGCTACAGAAGGGTAGAATGGAGTCCGTGGAAACAGCTACAGTGTCATTCTGCATCAAATCACACTTGTCCCATGGGAGGAGGGCTGCTGGTACAGAGTATCTGAAACTACTAAGGCGCAACAAATGCGGGAACTTGCATCACAGCCCCCCACATCTCAGGAAAATTGTCATGTCAAGAAGATCTGAGCTCCAGTTCACTGGGCGAGGACAGTGCTCGCTGTGGAGAAGTGCTCCACTTGTTAACACAGAGGATCCTTCAAGCCACTCCTCAGAAGAGCTGTCTCTGTAAATAGGAGCCCAGGATGGTGACACGAGATGCCAGAGATGCCAATGGGAATCTAGGGGTCACTTCTAATGGGGGTAGTTGTGGGGGTTGGGCAAAGTGACCTCAGAGACACCTCATAGCTACCTCCTGGTGGATGAGCCCAATTTGGCAGGTGAGGGGGTGGAAAGTGTTCTAGGCAGACATAACAGCATGTGTTTAAAGCTCTAAGACCTGACAGGGTAAGGGTCTGGCCACTCACCTCCTGAAACCATGAAGCCCTCACACCCAGCTTAGAGACAAGTTCTGGAGAGTTTGTCACCGGGGTCTCATCTACCTGATGGGTCACATCTGCAGAGGGTCAGAACTCAACAACCCCTGGCGACCACTTGGCCTAACATCCCAAATAAGGTGGCTGGAAGGCCACCCGGATAATTCAAAGACCTGAAGTGGGCTGTGGTGGCCTAGAGGGGCAGGAAGTCACTGCTGGTGACCCGTGTGCATCCCTGCCTGGAACCAGCACCCCTGTTAAACAGTAAGGAAAACGAGGGCGGGGCTGGTAGCCGTGGTCACGCCCTCGCTGCCCACACCCAAGCAGGGCCTGCACCTACCGACCGGGGGCAACCTGGGAATGACGGAGCGCTGGGGACCTAGGATACAGGGACTGGCCAAGTTGCACGGTCACCTGCGTGTGGCGCAGAGCCCGCCGTCTGCGCCCGCGCTCGGTGGGTGGGGGCTCGGCCCCCGGCTGCCAGCGGCTGGGTGGCCGCCTCCTCCCAGCCTCAGTTTCCCTGCCCGGAAGGCAGCGAGCGGTGGCCGCGCAGGACTTCCGCACACGTCCGGGCTCCGACATCCGCGCGGCTGGATCGCTGCAATCCCTGAGCCCCGAGGGGTGGGCGGGACCTGGGATCTCGCGACC